CACGCTGGCCCAGGGATAATAATATTAAGAAGGAAAGCACTGTCTTTTTTTTTTTTTTTTCCACTCCTTTCCCCATCCTTTTCAACTCTTATGGCTGCGAGCAGCCTCAGAGGGTCCATAAGGTTAACAAATTGGGAATTTCAACCCCCCTTTGTTTCAGCCTCCCCTGAACCACGCCTGTCGGCTTTGCTGGGGGGGCTGCGAACCCAGGACTCTTCCTGCCTGACAGTCCCCAGACCCCCCGTGCTTGCAGGGCTGGGAGCTGTGGGGCAGCCTCAGCGGGGCCATGCCCCAGGGCGATCTGCGCAGATTTTCGGGGATGAAACAAAATGTTTCAGATGCAATGAATTGGACATCTGTTTCATCAGAGATGGGGGAAAAAAAGGAAAAAAAATAAAAGATAAATTTCATCAGCTCTAATGAGAGATGCGAAGATATTTTGGTATGTTGATAGGCTGCCTCCTGCTCCTCACAGCTGGAACAAACACTCTACCTAATCTATTGGCTCCAAGGAATGATTTTTTTTTTCCCTGGGTAATACCTTTTCTTCACATCAGAGCACTGAGTATCGGTAGCATGCACTTGATGTTTTTCAGTGCTCTCTTTAGCAGTTTTGGGTCATTGCCAGCCTTCAATTTACCTGCAAGTTCCCCTATCTCTAGGCTGTGGATTCATCCTGTGCTGGATTTCGTAGATACAATGACATCTCCCATGCAAGCTATTGTTCTTTAATTCTGCAGCTTTATCTGTGCTAAAAGTCTGTTTTGTTTCTCTGCTAATCTGATCAGGAGATCTGCTTTTACCCCGAATTTGTCCTGTAGGATTCACCTCCTCCAATTGCTTCCCCACCCCATGAGTGTGCTGGGCCAGGCCTGCAGGACTTGGTCCTCCTCACCCCAAGGACATCTCAGCATCACCCATCACCCACAGAGGTCTGTGGCTCAGTGCTGTGTGGCACTCGCATGTGTTGGCTGCTTTATCAAGAGATGTTATCCCTTGTTTTGAGGGATTCCTATTAGTAGCTTCATCTCAGCTCTGAATGGTTTTATGATGTGTTTCTGTACCTGAGCACATTTTTCCCTTTGGTTATCGGTCTGCTTTGTGCACAGGTTTAATTCTCGCTTCTGTATTTGTGCAAACTTCTATTTTCCTGTAAACGTGGTGTATTTTCTGGAGTATTCTAGAATTCCCCTCCAGCTCCTACCTACTCCATTGCTAGGTACCACTTTGCTCCTAGGTGCAACTCCTTTTGCTTTTATTTGCACTTTCCTCCTTGCAAGAGGTGTCAGGAGGCTGTGCTTTGCCCATCCTCTTTTACATACCTTGGGTTGAACAACACCACAAAAGACTTTTCTGCTTCTAACACAAAACACTGGCTTTTCATTCAAAGAGCAGTGGCCAGCGATGGTAGTAGAGCCAGGATTTCAGCCAGGCTCTTGCAGGCTCTTGCATTACCACATTGCCTGTGAGAGGACCGCTGCCTCCAAGTGGGCGATCGCCTTTCACTGGACCGCAGCTCTTCTCTGCACATCCCTTGCAGCTGCCCTGGCAATGGCCCATTTCCAAAGTGCTGTCACCCATGTTTATTCAGTACTTGTCATAGTACCGTCTTCTGGAAGCAGAAGCCAGTCTGAAGCTACTGATAACAGCTTGTTGTGCTGTTGACACAGTTGTGGAGCCTGTGACTCGCCATATTTCTTGTTTTAGGAGAAGCATTCCAGCTCTCTTGCTGTTTTGTTAAGTCTTCCTTTCATTAAATTGTGCTGATGCCACAGAAAATTGTCAGCTGTCCATCCTTTCCCTAGGCAGGGAATATATATATGTATATATATGTATATATGTATGTATAATCACAGCAAGGGGAGGGAAGGGTCAGGTGTTGCTATGGAAAGAGACTATTAATGTGTGACAGAACTGGCAGTGCGGGAGGTGGGAGCTTTCCCCTGCACAAAATAAGCCTTTAAAGGGGAGCTCACGGACAACCCAGACTCTCCAGGGGCACCTGCCCCAAATTTGATAATTTGATAATTTGTTCCTCTCATTATTTCCCTTTGCCGATGGCTCTTCGGCCAGATTTTCATGCATCAAAAAATATCCTAGTCTGAAATAGTCTGGATTCATTCAGAAAACAGATTTCCGTGAGGCATTGGTTTGAATGCTTTGCAAAGGGCTTCATGGCCAGATCCTGAAGGTGTATATATTACTGTAACTTTCTGAAAAGTCCTGTTTACACCAGATGAAGATCTACTTATGTACAAGAAGCAGCTTCACCCAAAAGGAAAGAAGGGTAGGTATGAAGCATGCATGGCCACCCTGTGTGGAGGACACGTTATGAACTGTGGCATCTTGATTGCATTTAAAAGTAATAGGAGTAAAAGTAGATTTTCTAGTTGAATTTTTCATCTATTAAAATTTCAATTCCACTCCAGCCTGTGTGTTTTTATGTCACTAAAACTGTGTGTTTGAGCTCCATGGGTGTATTTTTAGCTTTCTCCTGTCCAGGCCCCAATTAGTGATGGAGCTAAAAGCAAAGAAGCAAAGGAGTTTCTTCCCATGAGGCAGCAATTTTCAATCCATTTCACTTTTCCCTCTGCTGCCATTCTTCTCACTGACCACAGACCTGCCCCTTGGTGTTACCGCTCCTCACAGACCACCAGGTCCCTTCTGGCCAAAGGCTGAAAGCCGGCACTCAGTGCAAGGGGCAGGTGCAGAGGAGCCCTCTGCCTGTCAGGGTCACTGGCCTGGCACAATGCCTACACACAAGCTCATATGCCATGAGCAACGTTTTATTTTGTGCTGCCTGCCAGTCTCAATTTCAACTTTTTTCAAAATTTTCCTTTGCTACAGGAAACGTCAGAGGACTGTGGATTGGGGACTGCTGGCCTACATAGACTGAGAGTTGGTTTAGCTATTAAAGTATTAACATTTCCTTATGTCTTTCTTATCTGTAGCATTTTTGTTTTCTTGCTTCAGAAGTTGTTTGACTGAGTCTGATGTTTCTGTGGTGCTCTGGACCCTTAAATCCTGGTAAGAAACCATCCTGTCTGACTCCTGCCTCTTCCACATCCTCATGATCCAAACATGCTTCCTTCTCCCAGGAGCACACCTCTGTGCATACAGGAATACAAAGAGGGGTGTAGCTGCCTCTCTGGGAATCACACCTGGGAAAAGGGGTGTGGCCTCATCTTGCAGCATTCAGAAACAAATTCAGAGTGTTCTCCACGACCCTTCTCCATACATCACGGTCTTGGCTGTGGGACCAGCTTTCGGAGAAGAGCCACGGAGCCGGCTGCTGCTTGGGGGCCACTTCTCCTTTCCCCTAGCTCTGTGGTAACATTTCCAGTGAGCACAGAGGGGCAAATGGCAGAACACTTGCAAACGTTTGAAGGGTTTTTTGCTGATCAGAGTTCAGTGCTCCAGTTAGTCATTATTTCATAGCAAAGAAGAAATAGAGCCTCAGTGTTCTCTAAGTGATAGACACGGAGTAACAATCACAGGGGCTCTGGTGAACTTCCCGATATTAAGGCAACTAAAGTGCTATTCAGATGTAATCCAATCAACAAGACACTACTCTAAGCAAGATGGGCAGCACAGCAAACTACGCTGATGAGCACCCAGAGCTCCATACCTCCGACATACAACAGTGAGAATAAAAACTAAAGAAGAACTGGCCTATTTGAAACTTCAGGATAAGGGTCAGGGTGTTTCCTGACACGCGATCATCAGTGGTTACTGGTGACAAGGAGACTGGTGAGAAATGGAGGGAGATGATAAGCAAGTGCTTGTGCTGTGCCTGGGGCTGACAAAAGAAGTCAGAAAGAAACATTTATATTTTCTGGAGCAAAGAGATTAATTAGTGAGAAGAGCTGTTTTTGCAGCACAGAGAGGGTATTCTTCACAAATGGACCTGAATAGTATCTTTATAGAGATGGGGGTCTACATAGGTTTCTATTTCTTCTCTTGGGAAACTGTGTTTTGTTTGCTAGTGAGGGAAGAGCGATCCAATCTCCTTAGTCCTACCAGGAAATCTATCCCCAGTAAAACCAAATCTTAGTAAACAAAAAAGCTATTTTATTGTTGTTGTTGTTTGCTTGTGTGTTTTTTTGTGTGACAACAAATGCCTTGTTATAAAGTGTCCATCCACATCCAGCAAGTGCTCCTTGAAGCCAAACACCTCTGCAGGATAAATTTCAAATGGTGAAGGAAGGGTTACATCACCTTCATCCTACACAGCTGTTGCATACTTTACATTTGGTCCCCATTTCAAATTAAAAGGCAATTTATGAGATAGATTGGCTGCTACATTCAACCCACCTGTTAAGATCTTGGCTATTTTTTAAAGTTCCCAGTTCAGGGACATTTCCTACAGGATAAAAAAGAGGGACCATTGGCCACCTATTGACTGCAGCAGTGTTACAGAGCAGGGATAGTGGGGCAGGAGGGAAAAAGATAGTTGTAGATGTGCCTAAACAGATGATCCAAGCTGGCATCACTGATGAAAAAGAGACTGAGATATAATCGGGAAGAATGATATAGGGAGGAAAAAAAAAAAAAAAAAAAAAAGAAAGCATATGGGCATCTGGAAAGGGAAGTTAAGAAGTTTGACCTTGCCGTAGGATGGAAGAAAAAAAAGGAGTGCAAAGGATGTCTGGAAGAAAGGCACAAGAGACTGAGGCAAGTGATTTGTCGTTTGGTTTTGGGATGGGTGACAGATGGGAGGCTGTAGTGAGGAAGGGGACACAGCAAGGAGGGGACGGGGCATGCAGCTGACCGAGCGGACCTCAGAGAGGTGGTGGAGGGAAGGTGACAGGCGGTGCGTGTCGGGGGGAGCTGGGGGCAGCTGCCAGCCTGTGTGGGCAATGGGCGGTGAGGATGGTGGCAATACTGTCAGGCATAGCAGCCGATAGGAGTGGGATATGGGCAACAGGGCGGCAGAAAGAGCTCTCAGCCCCCACTGCCACCATGGGAGGGGTGAGCTCAGTTTTGATCTCTCAGTGCAGTTCCTCAAAAGCTGGGGCCATCTGGACACAGTCCTGTCCCTTGTACAAGCTGTCAGCAGCACCGAGGGATTGCTCTGGCAGCCAGAATTGCTGGCTCATCCGAGAGACTCCATGCTCATGGCCAGGAGGGCAGATGGCACCGGATCCACTACAGTGGCTTTGCACCACCTGGTTCCCCTGTTCAGGAGCGTCCTGCAGAGCCAGGTGAGCCTGGCTTCAGGCACTGTGGTATCATTCAGATGGATGGTGTGAGCCACCCCACCATACCACGACCAGTAGACTCCTGAACACCTCCAAGAACACGAGCCCTGGCACAAACGTTGGCGTGGATGTGCTTATTTTCAGCTGGCCTTACATCGGGCTTCACCAAAGCAACAACCTGAGGTGGGTGACAAAGCAAAACAGTGAGAAAGCAGCTGCCACAATGCCTGCAAAAGAATATATATGTGCAGCAATTGATTTCTTCAACCGCCTCTCCTCAGCACTTGCTCAGGGGAGACCTGATGCAGTAATTAAAATTTGGGCTGGTGCTTTGAGTTGCCCAAGTAATGAGTATGAAGAAGAGTAACTGAAAATGTCAGTCATTCCTGCTCACACACACCTGTATATCAGGCATTGTTCTATTCAGGAAATATTTTATTAATACTTAAATATCTCAATAAAAATGGTAGCTTATTATAACAGAGATGATAGGAAATTGGTCAGAAAGTTAAATACTTTTGGGTAAGAAAGTGATGTTGTGTGTTTATTATTGATCTTAGAGCTGTGGAAAATAATGTTGAAGATTGCAGCTCTTCAGCTTTCTCTAAAGGGGAAAAAAACAAAAAAAGGCTCCAATAAGGATGATATAAAATCATGTTAGAGGAGATAACCTGGGAAGCAAATGGTGACTCTGAATTGGTTCAAGGGTTGGTTCATTCTGGCTGAGGAGCCCTGTCTGTTTCCCCTCTCCTCAGGTACTGCCCTCTCGCAGAAGCCATCCCTGGAAGAGAGATGGGGTCGTGGTCTCCTTGTCCATCCGCAGCCCTTAGGAACTGCTGCCAGAGGAGACTCTGACACTTCTTAGCACTTCAGCCTCAGCCAGAGCAGTGGATTGAATCTCATATGTGCATATATTCCTTCCACTGGAGAACATAAATGTCCAAAAATAAATTACATTAGTTTTTCAGTTAAACTTTAAGAGTTCTCAAGTCCAGGTAAGACTTTCTGGTCAAAACCTAGATCCTGATGTAAGGATCTGGTCAAACACCTAGATTCTGATGTAAGAATAAAAAAGTGAACGGCTGTGAAGGTATTCACAGAGCAAACAGGAAAGCTAAATGAATGGTTTGAACAAACATTTTCTCTGCATCATATATGGGCTCTCTAAGAATTAATTTATTAATCAATTAGTAAGGGGAAGGCAGAAGGAGAAGAAAAAGGAAAAGAAAAAAGACTATAGATTGATATATTTACAACACTTTTCATTTTATTTTGTTACATACCATGAAAATATAAATAACAAATTAATATACAAGTAATTAATGAAGTATCTATACACACAAACATATTGAATTGGTAGAAGGCAAAGAACAGTCCCTACAATTTAGGTTAAACTATGGTGGATGCACTTTATTCAAAGGAGGCTACTGCCTATCACCCAGTGCGTGATTATATATCCTGCACGTTTGGGACTGCATGAATGTGACAACTTTGAAAATAGATTAAATAAATGATCCGATTTATATAGTACAAGTGCCTCTCATGGACCATCCCAAACTTCTCTGGTGGATAGAGAAAAAAGATGAAAACCACTGCCACAGTAGCCCTGACACTGGTGCTTGAAAAAGCACTGTATGGTGAATGTGGTTCATGGGAGGGATGTGTTAGATGCAAATAATAAAGCAGCTACCAATTTAAAATGCATAAACTACAGAAGAGAGGAAGCCATTGCAAAACCTGTTAGCAATAAAATTGGAAAGAGAAATGTTGCTCACCCAGCTGGTTAAATGATGATGGAGAGTAAAACCAAGAGAAAAATAAACACCAGATTTAGAAGCACACTGTGTATCTGGTGCCATTAAGGAAGATCAGCCTGCAACTGCACTGAAAGTGCCTGGTTCCATTGTGTCCAATGTCCATTTGCACAGCACAGAGCCTCTCAGTCACCTCTCCAAGTGCAGCAAGCCTGTAGTGACCTGGCTGTACCTTTGCTTGCAATGCTGAATGAGAGAATTGGACTTAGACTGTCAGAACAATTCATCTTTTGCATCCAAGACGTGGCCCCTCTAAGGATCTGGAGATAGCTTTACAGTCATTAACAAATTAAGTTTCAGGAGTATTAAATGAATACTCAGTGAGTGGCCTCAGTACTCAACATTCATTAATTTCAAAACTAGAGAAGTTTTAAAAACTTTGTCTTTTCCTGATGAGCTCCTACAAACACAGCTTTTGTGTGTCCAAGCTCTCATTATAATCAAAGGAAGCCTGTATGCAAAGCAAGAGTACAGTTGTCACTTTGGTTTACTCATGCTTGTCCCAAAAAATGAAAAGAGGCTTTTCTGACTTTTTTTTCATGCACGTGTGAAGTGTGGTAGCATTTGGAGTTAAACTTCCTATTGTCACATTGGAAACCCAAACTGTGAATGCAAATCCCCTGATGGCTTAGTACCAGGTTTCTGAGTCTCATTGCAGGGACATCTTTGAGAATTTGGCCCCATGTTGCAGTGATAAAGTGACAGATTCCTCTCGTACTTAAATTCTTGTGAGCAGAGTGCCTGGAGGTTTGGCTAGTTTGCCAGGATTAGAGTCTGGGTTTTAAAGAGAGTAGCTTATTTTTTCCCCAAACAGGCATAAAAATAGAGATCTGCTTTTAGAGAAAAACAAATCCACAAAGATACAAAAATGTGGAGTAGTCCCATCTGACTGGTGCTCACATGCTCCCAGCTGAGCCGTGCTCCCCTTGTTAAACTCCTCTGCAAGAAATGGGCCTGATTCCTTCTCTTCTACCATCAGTTTGAGCAGACAGCATCTCTAGAGAAACCCACTTTCACCCTATTTACTTCAGAAATTACACTCAGGTTTCTGTCTCTTACTGAGCCTGAGTGAATACCTTACCTGACTTACCACCTCAGGCTCCCGTTAGGATCAGGTGCACTGGCTTTCCTTCCCCCGTCCTGCTCTTGCATTGTTCTGTCACACAAAAGGGCCTCCTCAGGCCAGGGTCAGGTCCACTACCTCCTTCACTTGTTCGAAGATATCCAATTAAATTCAGTTTAATAACTCTGACCATTTATATGACATATTTCATCTCTGAAGAGATAAAAAATTATTATTAATAATTACTGCTCAGAGTGCTCCCAAGAGGCATGTTCACACTATCACAACCTCATTCCATAGGGAAACTGAGGCAAAGTGTTTTATTGCAGGACCACAGACCAAGTCCTTGCCATATCGCTCGGATGAATGTGATGCTGTGTGGTTTCCCACATGGGGCAAAATCTACTCTTGGATAGATAAATTCACGTGTCTTTTTTGTTTGTTTGTTTGTTTGTTTTTGTTTGTTTTGTTTTGTTTGTTTGTTAGTCTGTTGTTTCTACCAAATATCAGCAGAAGAAAGAGCTGAGGCCACAGAACTGTCAAGTCTCAGCTTCACCCTGGTGTTTCAATTCCTGCTAGAGCCTCAACACCTTTGGCCAAAGTGGAGACTGCATGTGGAGGCAGCAGGACCTTTTGGGCATGGAAACAATGCAGAGGCCGCCCAGTGACTTCCCGGGGCTCTCTGAGTGGGAGCTGTGGTGAGTTCAACTACGGATGCACTCTGGGATGAACTGTCCGTGCAGTCATATCCATGTGGTCATACCAGACTTGTGTGATGGCAACCAGCATCTGGGGCCTCTGGAAGCGAGGGTGAGCAGAGGAAAGGAGGCTGCACACCTGCTGCTCCGCTGGGCAGCATGCTTCAAACTCCAGCAACCTTTTTCTCCCTTGGTCTCAAGAGGAAAGCTATATTTGGAGTAGGGCAACATGCCTTGATTTGAGAAATGTAATGCCTTTGAGGAATCTCCAAAGCAAAATTAGCAAATAGAAAAAACAAAACAAAACAAAAAAAAACTGCAAAAGCCAAAGCGGGAGACCTACGTTATGTAGTTCCAACATCAAAGGACCATTACCTGTGCTTTCATCTCCTTTTCCTCCTGTGAGTCAAAGGTACAAGATATTACTGCATATTTTAAGCAATTGCTATTTTGAAAGCTTAAATGCCAGCGTAATTCCCCCAGTGGTAACTCCTGTTGTGCTGTTCCAGGCTGGTACTTCCACAGAACGTCTCCCAGTTTTCACATGGTTATCTCCATCTTTGCTTTTGATAGGTTTGTGTCCAATTGATTCAAGAATTCACTCTGGATTTCAACAGTTTCCTATTCCTTGACTGAATGCTTTGAGCACACTCTCAAATGAGGTACGGTAATGGCTTTTGTGTGGCACTTTTTATGCCCTACTTTTCCCTGGTTCCCCATCCTCTTCTCTCTTAAGTGTAGGATTATCTGGCTCACATCTAGACTCTTGCAGTTCAGAGCAGTCTATAATGTAGCCACCTGGAAAAGAACATTTCTTTCTTCTTTCTTTTTTTTTTTCTTTTTTTGTTTTTCCATGTTTCTTTCTTTAGCATGAACTTTGCATTTGAGGATTATTGACAAATCTGTTTGGAAAAGATGCATGAAGAAAAACCTTTATGGTCCATCTTGTGGTAAAAAGCGGGTATTTCTTTGCTCATTTGAATGTCGGAGGATTATTTATGCTGGTGCAATGTTTTGAAGAGATAAAATACTCCCCACTGTGCTACATGCAAATCTCTGCAATGTAAACATAAATAGTTGTTGCACATGCATAATCAAAGACATTTTTATAATTATTGTTGGATAGTTCAGTCCTCTAATAGCATCATCTGGTGTAAATCAGTGTAGGTCTACTGAAGCCTGCAAAGCCCCTACCGATTTGTACCAGATGGGACTCAAACTCTTCACTCTAAGTTTAGTCCTTCTAGGGGAAAAAAAAAATAAAAAAGACAAAGGCCTGATAGTCCTTGAAAATTGAGTTCTTTGTTAATTCATGGAAAGCTAGTAGTGCAAGAGTGGCAGGGACTTTTCTTGATCCGTGTGTATGCCTCAGCCCTTATCTAGGGAGAACATTTCTGTGACGAGGGAAAGCATGGGCTTCTGTGCCAAGTCAGCTCCCGGCCCTCTGCTCAGACTATCGCAAAGATTTGCCAGATAATGCGATGTATAACGTGAACTCCTTTCTGCCGGGACTTGGACTAATACCGCCATCTCTTTAGCATAGGCCACCAGACTGCTGCCAGATGCTAAGAATTTTCAGTTGTTCACAACCTGTGCTGCATTTTTAGATACCTAAAGGTGAAGGTCTCGAAATCCAGTTTTCCATCCCCAGAGCGATCTTGTTTCACTGTCATTCAGCATTATCTTTTCTTCAACATTGTGCACAGCTCAAAGCACTTTCTAAAGCTATTTTGACACCTGATTCTCCTCCACCTGAAGACAACAACTGCAGTCCTTTGGGTGTTCCGTAGGCAAACTTTTCTCCAAGTAAAATACAATACTTTAAAACATTTATTTTCACAAATAGGTTTAGACTACATTATCCAAATAGCTGCTAGTGGAGACTGTCCATGGATGTTCATGTTATAGATAGATACTTCCAAATCACTGATACTATTAATTTGCATACACATATTTTATCTAACTGACATGAAGCAAACTTTGTTTGCATAAAACAAGAAGTGAACAATTAGGGGATTTTCCCCCATCATTTGAATGTCAATAGCAAAAATATCCATTAAATACTGAGTTACTGCTTATTACAAGATAAAATAATGGCCACCTAAATTTCATCAAAAAGCAAGATTTTACAAGAATGAAGAGGATACACACACTATATTCATCTTTCAAATGAATAAAAGTTTGCATTAGTATAACCGGCTCTTTTAGGGTTTTCTGTGAGATTTTTTCCCATTGTCTACATTTTCAGTGAGATTCTCCAAAAAAAATGTTGGTTTTATGTAAGCTTGATGTGGAGCAAACTTTTTTTTTTGCAAGAAGTATGAGCTACTGTTAGCAGCTACTGAAGAGCTCTAAGTCCGATGTGGGTTTAATGTTGTGATGAGTGCCATGGCAGAACAGTCTAACAATATAAGCCTGTTGGACATGTCGTCTGGGCTGTCACGTTCAATTTGCACATGACCTCCTGGCCAAAAAATGGGAAAGAAGTGGTAGAATGTGGGACTGAAAGCTTATATTATTGCTTTGACAGCTTCACTCATCTAGAAGTAATGCAAAATGCAATTTATATTTATACTCTCTGACCTTCTGTACAGAGAGGGAAACTATCTAATGATGGGCCATGGTAGAAGAGAAAGAAACAGATCTCAATACAGCTGGAATTTGTCTACATTTTTTGCTTTTCAACCATTCAATTACAGTCAAAAGATAAATGAAACATGAAGAGTGCATTGGTTAGGTAGTGACACAATTATTTTATAGTGAGTAGGTTCTGGCTTTGAGCCTTGGCAAAGGTTGCCATGCACGCCTTGTTTCACTAGATACAGATAATCTGCTTGCTCCCACCGGACAAATCCCCTCTGCTTGTAGGTGTGTCATTGTGCCCATCACAGAAGGAGAAGAACGACACCAGCATCTCGGTACCACTCTTCCCATGCATTTGAATTTCAGAGAGGCTGACACTCTAATCTTATTAACCATGATAAATCAAGTCAGGCCTAATTGCAAAGGGGACATTATTTGCTCTTGTGGTAAACAGGCACATAGGAAGAAAGCAACACTTTCTTCTCTTCCAAGGAATCGAACATGGATTTGTATCTTCTCAAGAGAAAAAAAAAAAAAAAAAAGGAGAAATCAGCTTTTGGCTTTTGACTCTGACAGAACTGCTTAAGTAAAGACTGGGTAACAGCTGAAGATCCTTAACAACACATATCAGAGTAGCTATCATCCTGCCATAGCCCAGCATCCTTCAGAGGGCTTCACTGCAGCCATGGCTGTTTATAACAGCATGATTTGGCTCAAAAATTCAGCCTCCAGCTGCATCTGTTTCTCCCTTTTCATTCAAAAGAGACACAGCATTTGAAGGAAAAGTTATTTGCAGGAGTGAGCATTGAGAGAAGATAACGGGCATGGAAAACAGAAAGTGCAGGTTTTAAACATCCCAGAGTATTTTAGACAATTACATCTCTTTGGATTCATCACTGCATCTCATTGATCCATCCTGCCCTAAAGAGGAGTTGATCCAAAGTCCATTGACATCAACAGTGAGACTTTCAGGAGTGATTGTAGGCTATGAAACAACCCCACAGTTTCAGTGCTCATATCAGCCAGGCAGTCACTATTTTTTTCTTTTTTTTTTTTCTTTTCCTGTCTTAATTGTTTTAATCTGGACTAACATTTTTCTTTTCTTTCGTAGACTGAATGATAAAAAACAAAGCAAACAAATTTTATTGGACAAAAATTTCAACCTGATATCCAGCTTTCTTTGGAGAATCCTTTTTCAACAGGTATTCATGACTTCTGCCAAATCAGGGCAAGCAGGATTGTTTAAAAGATACGTGATGACAACAATAAACAAGGAAACTGATGGTCAGTGTACAGTGGATATGTCAGAAAAGAATAAAAATGTGGAAACAAAAGCTATAGGAAGGTCATGTTTCATAAATAAATGCAATAAGATGAGACAAGTAAGACAAAATAGTGCAATATGAGAGGCTGAGTGGAAATTAATATGCAATTTATCATTCTTTTGGTTTGGTTCCCAGTAAAAAAGAGTTCTTTGTCCAAACTGTTAGTTACCCTACAGGTTCAAAGCTGCTTACCTCTGCACCTTTTGGAGCAGGATCCAATTATCCATTTACAGTTAAAATGGAACTTAGAATCTGGGCTATTTATGGAGCTACTTTCCCTAGTCCCTGCAGGCTGGTGCAAAGCTGTGGCTTTCTAGAGTGTGGGGCTGTGGTGAAAGCAATGGGCCACACATGAAGCCCAAGACCCTTGGGGTGGCGAGGGGCAGGCCTGGGTGCAAGTGTGGCCATGTGAGGGGCACTGGGTGGCGTGAACCTCACAGTTGGTGCATGGGGTTAAATCAATACCCACCGCCCCTGGGGCTCCCCCAGCCAGAGAGCACTGCAGAGGAGTTGATGGAACCAGGAGGGCTGCTTCCCATCCCTTTTTTCCAAGTGGGCAGCCGGGATAGAAAGGAGGCATTAAATAATGAACTGACCCCCACTGGTGTCACTGTGGGTTTTGCTGGTGGCAGTGGAAGGAGAGGGCTGAGGCCTTTGGTTTGGATGGGGGGGAGGGAACCGCCCCTGGGTAATTGCCAAGTTGCTTTTGCAGGCTGACCACGGTGCAGTGCACAGAGCCCCCTCTCACATGGGCACACTTTGCATGTCTTTTCCAGCTGAGTCACTGAATTGGGGGAAAAGTTGAGCAGTTGACCTGGCATTTTTAGAGGACTGATTTGGAGGGGGGTGGGATACAGAAGGACTATTTCCCCCTCCTTTGTCTATAATTTATTTGTTCCACCAAGCTGCTGAAGTGAAGCAGTTAATAGTGATTTTTGTTTTCCTTCACTATTTTTAATCCACAACCCTGCCCTGTACCTGCCCTTATAATCCCCTAGCATGTGCTGGTGACATCACATGGCCGTCAGCTCCCAGCTCCATCCCTGTGACTGTCATTAACTGTTGCAAGCAAATGAAAAATGACTGGGAGACTCGGTGGCTCCCACCAGTGACCTTGGGTATTATTAGAATGACCTCGCTTTGGCTTGACCATAAAAAAAAGAAAAACCTTCCTTGATATCATCACAGGGGCTGGGGCTGAACTGAAGCTGTTTGCAGTGAGGAGCAGGGACAGGAATGGAAGAACCGTTAAAGAAAGCAAAGTAAATGTTATGGAAAGATCTGACTTAATCAGAGGCATAGCCCCACAACATTACCCCTTGCCAGGATGTACTGGGCTGTGCTGGGGTCACTGTGCACCTTGCTGGGTTTGTTTTTAAGCTGCTTCTTGTTTGATATTGGTTTGCTTGGTCTATAAAAAAAAAAAAATAAAATTATATTTAACTCCTCAAGGACTTGTTGGCCTCACACATTTTATGTTACTGTGTATTTCTCCCATCTTACACACACCTCTATAAACAGAGGAGGCTACAGACTGGGCAGGCTGCACGCTATCATATGCAGTGAGACACACATAAAACTTGTCTTTATCTGTCTAGATACATACATTTACTCAATGTGCATACACATGTGTATACAGTATGTCTATATATACATGTATATGTATATGTACATAAGTATAGGTACATGTAGAGCATATGTTTATAACTGCATATCTGTGGTTGTGCATTATCCTTAATGTGTGTGAATATGGACATAAAGAGATGCATTCCCTCTATGTAATGTATAATTGTGTATATAGCATATGGCAGTCATATCTGAATATTTCATAGTAATAGTAAAGAATAAGAATAAGAATAAAAGAATAAATGAGAATTGTGCCCAGCAGCCGGGCCATGGGGCAGGGGGATGCTCTGCTGTTCAGGGCCATTCCGGCAGGAACCTGTGGGCTCTGTAGGGGCAGGGGCTGCCCAGGACACCCGGCCCCGGTCCAAGTGAGGTGCCCGTGGGCTGGGGACCACTGCAGGCTGCAAGGCACCGCTGCCCTTGGGGTGCATCGCCGGGGGATGGTTAAAGCCCTGGAGGCAGACAAAAGCCACCGCCCGGCCGCTGTCCTGCCTCGCTTCTCTGCTGTCAGCTGGAAATGGATCTGATGCCCTCTGGACTTTAACTCCCTACAAAAAGGGCATTTGATTACGGGTTATGACAAGTTGCAGAGAGACGCGGAGCGCTCAATAAGAAGAAACAGCCAGTGGAATCAAGGGCGAGGGGGGAAACGCTCCAGATGTTGGGAAGACGGAGCGGAGATGCCTTCAAGCGATAGGTGTTAGCAAAGCTCCGAGGAGAGCGGCGGCAGCCGGCACCGCGCAGCCTCCGCAGTGGAGCAGCCTCAGGGGCCGCTGCCCTCTGCTCTGTGGGAGGCGAGGGCCGGGCAGCGCCTGCTTCCCTTATTTATTTTATTTTATTTTATTTTATTTTATTTTATTTTATTTTATTTTATTTTATTTTATTTTATTTTATTTTATTTTATTTTATTTTATTTTATTTATCCTATCCCATTCCATTTTATTTTTCCTCTGGCTATCCATTTGGGTCCGTCTAAGTGTCTGGAGAGCTTTTCTCCACTTTTGCGCCGCGCAGGACAGGCTGTGTACGACTGAGAGGAGGAAGCAGCTGCAGTGGGGTCCCTACCCAGCCCCTTCTCTTTGCTGTCCGGGGCCCCCTGGGGCCGTGCTCGCACCCCGGCTCCCAGCTCTCAGCCCTCGGACCTGTCACGTCGTTAGGAGGATGCCAAGGACCCTGCGGAGTCTGTCGAGCACTCAGTACTTCTGTCTTCAGTGGCATCCTCCTGCACAAACTTCGCAGGTGTTAAAAAAAAAATAAAAATCCCGGCAAATAATAATAACAATAATAATAAAAACCCGACAAGCTTAACAGCTGTTCAAGGACACTTTAAACCATCTGATTTTGCAGGATAGGGCTCCCATCCTAATTCTCCCTGGCAGCTTTTCAAGCGCGCTTATTGCTGGTTGCCAACGGAGGACGGCTCAGCCGCTCCCCTCGAGCCCCGCTCAGCGCTTGCCGGGTGTCTCTGGGAGCGGTTTGGCACCGGGAAAATCAGCTCCCATCTCGGCTGCCGGGGGAGAAGTGCTCGTGTCTGGCAAAAAGAATAATCCTAAAGAAAAAGTTTCCAAGTGTCAGAGTGTAAATCTAAGAGCTTCAGCCGGGATGACTCCGTGCCTTACGGCAGGGGAGCATCACCCGGAGAGCCCCTCGTCCTCCTCCTCAGGACAGAGGCGTGCGACAATCGCAAGGACAGTCCGAGGACAGGCGTGTGGTTTCGGGAACTCAGGGGCGACCTCTGTGCCAGCCTGCGTCCCCCTGCCAGCCTTGAGTCACAGTATTTCAGTGGCAGGACCGGGGGCAGCAGCAGCGGGCACAACCCCCAGGTCCCTGGCAGGTGACTGGCAGCGTCTGACGCCTGCGATTTCTCTTTGGTTCTGTGGTCTGATTGCGGGTTTATATTTATTTCTGAAGTGTTGAACCCCTGGTAACACGAGAGGTTTCCTCCGAAGGAAAAACAAACCTCAACGAAATCCCAGAGCGATGCGCACCGCGTACCAGAGCTGCCTGGAGCTGGAAACGATGCCTGCAGAAGGGCTGAAAGTCACGAGCCTTTAACCAAAAACGTAACAAACCCCGGCCAGTATCACAAGGGCAAATTTCCCATGGGCCTCAAGGTTTGCCCTTATCCTTACTTACACTGATAAGTCCTTTCGCTAAATCCCCCAAAGTTGCTTGCTCTTCCGTTTCATGTATAAAGTTACGGAAACCTGGCAGATAAAGGCAGATGCCTTTACTGTGCTGGATAAACCTTACAGCCACACTGCAGAGGATCAGTTAAAATGTGTTGCTGCTCACATGAAAGACTTTTGAGAAAGTGTATTACTTTAAACCACAGCATGAAGAAAATCACGATATAGGAGGAGGGGGACAGGGGCAGCCCCCAGAAGAATAACGAGGGTCTCCGCTCCGCTGTCACTCCCGTTTTCACCTGGATTTGCGCTCCCGAGAGCAGGTGGTGTGGCTCGGGAAGCCGCTTCTCTTCCCCTTTTCTTGTGTTTTATTTCAAAATGCAGCCGCACGGGCACCGGCACAGGACAGTGTCCCGCACCCAGCCTCACCCCAGAGTCTGGGGGAGTGCGGTTGGACTATGCACGAAGGATGGGGCAGGGAAGGGGAGGGCAGAAAATCCTAAAAGTTTTTCTAACAGCGCACTGAAAAGACAAATTATCAGGGACTAATGGGATTATAATGTATAAACTCTGTACTCTTCGGGGACCTGTATTACCTAAGGAAGGGTGACAAATTTCAGAAGGGTCAACTCTTTGCATCTTCTGCCTAAGGTACAAGTTTTTGCCCACGTTTGCAGCCGCGGATATTTTATTGCATTGTTACTTTGGAGAACACAGCCCAGACCCAACTTTTCTCACGTTACTAATAAACCCCAGGTTCCCTTTGCTTATTCCAAACTATTCGAATTTGAGCTAGCGAGCTGCAAAACTTTTGTATGAACAGAAAAATAACCCATGCAAAAGAACATTATAATGCAGTGGTACAGTTATATCACACTGCATTGGCCAAAAAAACAAACCAAAACAACAACAAAAAAACCCACAAACATATATATATATATATAAATATAAGTATGGGCTTTCACTAGGCTTTAGTTATAATATATATATATATATTTAATATTAGCAAGAGAAGCGAAGGGGCAGTAAACAGCTTCAAAGGTAAAAAAGAGAGGGACTTTTCCATGACAGTCCTAGGGAAGGGAAAGCCGGGCAGGGGCTGAGCGGGACCAGGCGTTTCTTTGTGGGGTCAGGGGCACTGGGCAGCCCGGGAGCCAGGATTTGCCCCTCTGCTCTGGGAAGAGGGGGCATCGCCTTTCCCTGGGTCCCCCAGCCCGTGGATAATAAACTCAAGTGTCTGCCTGTCTCAGCCCTGCCCATCTTCTTTAGCCAACTTGACAAAGTGGAAGAAATATGACATGTGAATTATTAAAGAGGAGGCAGTTGACTCCTAACCTCTGTTGCTTTTTCTCAGAACCCATTACCTGAGAATTTATCTTGCAGGAATTACGGTGTCTGAAAGCTTCGGGAGAAGCAGCAAGGAGGGAGGGGGGCGTTTGGATAAGAGTTTTGAAGAAATACCACTGAAAAGCACCAGGTTTCACCTTAGCATTTGCACCACTCAAGAGATGGATAACGTGTTAGAGAAAACAAGCCATTCCTCCTTAGAAGTGGATCAGTTCGCCACAGGGAGCCGGGGAATAAAATCCGGACTGAATTTAAAACGGCTATCACCACTTAAATACCTTTAAAAGTAGAAGAGGGGAAACGGAGAGCTTTTCCGCGGTTCAAGTTTGTCCTTTAGCCCCGTCCTTAGAGTCAATGAGGGCACTTTCTGGGCACTTGATAAATAGTCCTCAAATCCTGCCCGGCTGAAGCGGGGCTCTCAGCGGGTGCCGCCCAGCCCCGCACCCCTACATACAGCAATTCCTTCCCTGCGGAGCCTTGCTGGAGCCCTGAGAAGCAAAGCATAAACTCCCCGTGCAGGTTTCGAAGCCTGAACACCCCCAAAAAAACTCCCCCCAAAAAAGTTTTCACTGCGCCCATGCAATTGCCCGTACCTGTTGGGCAAAGATGCTGAGGCTGATTGGCTTTTAGCAACTCGTGGTAGAAGGGTATATTGAACATTCCTTTTTAATTCCTTTTATTTATTTATTATTATTATTTATACGGGGGAAAAACCCACTCTGGGAGAGATGTGGGGATTTTTCCGGTCCTTTGGGCATAGATTTGTATCTAGCGCTGCCAAGCTGAATGTAATAATTGAATCTCTCCCAAATCTTGGTGATAGAGCAGTCAGAAATGACTCCATCTGACAGCAGAGCCATGAGGCAAGTGATGGATACTATTGTCCAAGCCTGACCCTCCATTAACACCACCTATCAGCATCTGTATTCTGTCACCAATTCCCATGCCGGAGCCAAGAGGGGTGACTCTAATATTCTGAGCACATTGAAGGCTTCCATGCTGAGTTCAACCCTGCATCAACTAAATGGGTGGAGAGGATGACCTAAACCTTGCTCTCTCTATCTCCACTCGCCTTATTACCCCTCTCCAATCCCATTGTTTTGCAGGTGCCTGCAATTTGCTCCTTATCTCCTCACTGTTTATGAGGGCTCCTTTTTATTAATACAAAAGGAGAAATGTTATTAATATTAATTAACAAAATAAAAAATGAAGCAGTTTTGGGAATCCACCAAATGAATAATCTCATCCCCTAATTGGAGATGAAGTGGGGGGGGAAAGGAGGTGTAAGAGAAACAGATGACCTACTGGGTGACAGGCACAGGTTGGAAGGGTGACATTTTATTGTAAGC